TGCAACACTTGAGGTCATTTACTGGAGTCTGTGCAACACTTGAGGTCATTTACTGGAGTCTGTGCAACAGTTGAGGTCATTTACTGGAGTCTGTGCAACAGTTGAGGTCATTTACTGGAGTCTGTGCAACACTTGAGGTCATTTACTGGAGTCTGTGCAACACTTGAGGTCACTTAGTGGAGTCTATGCAACAGTTGAGGTCACTTAGTGGAGTCTTTGCATCAGCTGAGATTATTTACTGGAGTCTGTGCAACAGTTAAGGTCATTTACTGGAGTTTGTGCAACAGTTAAGGTCATTAACTGAAGTCTGTGCAACAGATGTTCTCAGTCAGGTCGTTAACGTTGGCGTAGGTGTCCCCTGGTTTGTTTTCGCGTGGTTGGTCGCACTTCATAAACACGAACAAAGCATAAATGAATAACTATGGAACGCCAACACAATAAACCTCTTTTAACTACGTGTAGAGACATCAAAGGATAGATAACGTGTTTGTTGATGCAGCTTTACATCAGGATAACCATCCTGGCTGGTGCAGCTTCACATCAGGATAACCAAACTGCTATCATGCCTCCATAGACATCTATAAACACAGACTTGTAAACATCGTTATATAAAGGAGACCAGACCACACACCTGAAGATGAGGAGACGACGATGTTTCGGTCCGTCCTGGACCATTATCAAGTCGATTTTGGCTTGATAATGGTCCAGTAATATATAATGGTCCAGATATTTATAATGGTCCAGTTATATATAATGGTCCACCGTTATATAATTAGTTCCCTGCCCAGCCACCAGGGGTTACATCTTCCTTACGGTAAAGTTAATGAAGTATTATGTCAATAAACTAATGGTAAATTAAAGGACGTTGTTTTTAAAGCCTTTATAAATGGTAGGAGTTGCTACAAAATAAAGCCTTCATAAATTTAAGGTCATTTTAAAGTTTGATGTTATTCCATAAAGCTTCGGGTCCAATCCGGTCAAATTTAAGGTAATTCCATTTTGGTGTTTTAAAGTTCTTAATTAAGCTCTTGACACAAAACAAATGAAATGAGCGATAAATATATTACTAAACGAGCGGAGCCCCTCTATAAATAAACCAATATATAAACACCAAAATATGCCATAGCAATCCAACATTGCATATCAGGAATCCATTTTATTCAAATCCACACAATGTAATAATATGCTTTACGAAGCTGTTGTTGCTCTCAGCACCTTTCATGTATGATAAAATTATACCAGGAATACATCAGGTGGAAAACATGTTGATGGAGTTTTCCAGTGGCCCCTGACAACACAATTCTCCGCAGTGTTGTGTTGAACTACAATACCTGGAGCTGGAGTGAGCAAGGTAGAGAGAGAGAGAGAGAGAGAGAGAGAGAGAGAGAGAGAGAGAGAGAGAGAGAGAGAGAGAGAGAGAGAGAGAGAGAGAGAGAGAGGGAGAGAGAGAGGGAGAGAGAGAGAGAGAGAGAGAGGGAGAGAGAGAGAGGGAGAGAGAGAGAGAGAGAGAGAGAGAGAGAGAGAGAGAGAGAGAGAGAGAGAGAGAGAGAGAGAGAGAGAGAGAGAGAGAGAGAGAGAGAGAGAGAGAGAGAGAGGAGATCAGCTGTCACTGGCAACGAGGCCTAGTAGTGATGGTGCAGTTTTATGGTGTGACCCTTTGACAAGTTAGATCAAACACAGTAAAACCCAATAAACACAGATACTATCCACAGCTGCCTCTATACGCCCACCAGCACACATACGCAAGCACTCACACGCACACAAAGAGACCAAAGAGTCAAAGCTCAACCCCCGCAAGCACAACTAAGTGAGTGCACACACAGACGCACGCACACACACACACATACACACTCACACACACACACACACACAACTTCAGGAACCAGTGTAAGGAATCATTCAGAACCTTGTATGCCACATATATAAGACCAATCCTGGAGTATGCAGCCTCAGCATGGAGCCCGTACCTTGTCAAGCACAAGACGAAGCTGGAAAAAGTTCAGAGGTATGCCACTAGGCTAGTCCCAGAACTAAGAGGCATGAGTTACGAAGAAAGGCTGCGTGAAAAGCACCTCACGACACTGGAAGACAGAAGAGTAAGGGAAGATATGATCACTACCTACAAACTTCTCAGAGGAATTGACAGGATAGATAAAGATAAACTGTTTAACACAGGTAGTACACGAACAAGGGGACACAGGTGGAGAATGAGTACCCACATGAGCCACAGGGACGTTAGAAAGAACTTTTTCAGTGTTAGAGTAGTTAACAAATGGAATGAATTAGGCAGTGATGCGGTGGAGGCTGACTCCATACACAGTTTCAAGTGTAGATATGATAGAGCCCAGTAGGCTCAGGAACCTGTACACCAGTTGATTGACAGTTGAGAGGCGGGACCACAGAGCCAGAGCTCAACCCCCGCAAGCACAACTTGGTGAGTACAACTAGGAGAGTACAGCGGGATCCAAGAGCTAGAGCTCGTTCCAGCAGGCACAAATAGGTGAGTACACCCATCAAAAGACTTGAGACATATGGGAAGTGTGACTCACTGGAATGGGCATAACAAACAAACAAACAACTCGAGGTACAAATAAATAGGGAAACCTCTCTAGCACATTTTACACTAGCAAAAAGTCAAAATAGATTATGAAGAAAGACTGAAAG